ACGAAATGGACGCACTGCATCTCATCCGACCGTCGGGCTGGCAACCGTCGTGCACGCAGCAAGACAGCCTCACATGGAACCGGGACGGGTCAAAAGTGACACGATTAGTGGCGACCACGAAAGGTAAAGTGAAAAAGCGAGTCTCTTTTAACCTCGACGCTCGAGTGGGTCGTCGCGATGCAATTCGTCTTCGTGTTCTGACGCTTGATGTGTCCACGTTCGAGGCCGAGCGCGACGGAACCAAGTGGATCGGCTAAACGAGCATCTTTTTCCTCTTCAGCCCAACTTGTCCGGCGGCCACCAACTGCCGGAACGGCTACGCCGACGGCGTCTGCCAACCGGACTGCAGCAGCCCCGCTTGCGGACTGGACGGCGGCGACTGCGTCTCCGACGACCGGGTCGAGTCCGGCGCGGTGCCGAGTTCGAGACCCGCCCTCCTCCTCCTACTCCTCCTCGACCGGAGGCCGCGCGTCCGACTGCGAATTGCTGTCGACAGTCTGGCAGCTTTTCGAGCCCTCGAAAGACAGCTTTTGGCGGGTTAGTTGACCGGCAACGGACTACTCATGAGTCATTTTGTCATGTGAAACCGCCTCGAATGCTCACAAACTGCCATAAAATGCCACCTCGGAGGCCTCTTTGCTGGAAGAATCAAGAGTTCGAGTCCGTCTGGCTCAATTGAGGTGACGTGAGGACTGACAGTCGATCTGGCCACAGACAGGGCCGGACTCCGTTTGACATTATTCACTCTTGCTTCCAAAATGGCCTTTTTCTACGGGCTCGACTGCCATTTCTACTTCTTCTCTCCGTCAGGATTCGAACTCGGACTGTGTCCGTCAATCGGCAACGCCGGCACACCGACACACAGCCGCGCAATCACGTCTACCAACGGGTCACAGTGCCGTATTTTACAGTCAAACTGGTGTCAGTGAACTAGACATTACTACTTTTTAGGAGATCAGTAGTATTCAATAAAATATGTTTCATTTTAAAAATGATTAAACCTCTAATGAAATGTGGATAGGAAGAGTAACTGGCCCGAGCCTTGTCTATTTCACCTCTTCTGTAGACTTAAGTTAGCACGACTCACTTTATCAGATACTTTCACTTAAAAGGATCATGAACCAAGAGACTCCCTCGAAACCCAATTATTCTTCGCACAAGTTGGCTTACATTCAAGTGTATGTGTGTGTATGTGTGTGTGCGTGTGTCTGCACCTAAATGTCGGTACAGAAAAGTGGTCACAAGTGAGAGTGATTAGCAAAATGCCCAACGTCCGCGTCAGGTCAAGTGCGTGATTAGGTCTGGTTGAATCGACGAGATGTAAGCATGTTGGAGTGAAAGTGAGGTTACGCAACCAATAGTCCGGTCGTCATTAGGCTTCAACGACTCAAGCAAAGACAGGACTCGGATCGCCCAATCTCGCAGGCCCGTTTTGGTAGATGGAGTTGGCACGTCTGTTGGACGAGAGAGCAGTTGGTTGGTTGTTAGTTGGTTGGTTGGTTGGTGGTTGGTTGGTTTGTTAGTTGGTTGATGGTTGGTTTGTTTGTTGTTGGTTGGTTGTTAGTTGATTGGTTGGTTTGTTAGTGGTTGGTTTGTTGGTTGGTGGTTGGTTTGTTGGTTGTTAGTTGTTGGTTGGTTGGTTGGTTGTTAGTTGATTGGTTGGTTGGTTGGTTGGTGGTTGATTAATTGGTTGGTTGGTGGTTTGTTGGTAGAAAAGTAGCCTTTTTCTGTAAAATGTGTACTGTCTACTTAAATGCTTTATGAGTAGTATAGGTTCAAAGAATGCATAGATTAAAATTTACCCCAGGCAAGCAGTAGATATTGTAAAACTATTCTATTTTGCCATCTTGTATCTGCCAATGATCAGGTTTAGCCCAGCTGACTCAACTAGTGGTACGAGTGGCACAAGCCGATGACGGAGAGGCGACAAGTGAAGAGCGTGGCAGATCTCGTGAATCCGGGTCGCTTTTCAATTCACTTGCCGGACCGGGGCTGGTTACTGCAGTCGACATAAATGTTGAGGCAAGTTGAGACGCATCCGACAGCCACTGCCGACGCAAGCGTCATGTCATGCAGCTTGGCTCTGGGCAGGGCGATGGTATAAGTTGGGCGCATTTAACAATTATTTTCAAGTGGCTCATGAGTAGTGTAAGGGTTGCTTTTGGTTCGTTTCAGGCTGAGCGATGCCCGGCAGCAAAACAGGTTGCACAACAAGGTCGTCCATCCGAAATGTTGCCTCTTTCTTTATTCCGCATCCAAAGCCATTACCCATTCTGAATCCAGTCGGTCTGGATTGTCGTAGAAGTTGGTTGACCTCGTAGTCGCAACTTGGTTTTGTTGTCATGGCGGCCATGTAGAACGCACCCAGTCCGAAAACGTCTAGCATAGCAGTTGTCATGATTGCCAGCATCTGACAGTGGTTTTGGTACACTCTCAAACGTTTCGCCGGCGTCGTAGAGTTACTTC